CATACAAACATTTCAGTGATGAAATACACTCAAATTGACCTACTACCAATCCCATTCTTAACAAGTCATATTGCACAACCCACATTTCAGTGACTTAACACTCTTAACTTGGCCCACTACTCTTACCACACTTCAGTGATGAAACATCCTTCACTTGACATACTGCCCTAACCACACTTCAGTGATAAAACACCCTTCACTTGACTTACAATCCTACCCATTCGTCAATGATTAATTATCCTTCACTTCGTTACCCTACCCACACTCCAGTAAGGAAACACTTTTCAATTGACCTACTGCCTTACCCACACTTCAGTGATAAAACACCCTTCACTTGACCTACTGCCTTACCCACACTTCAGTGATAAAACACCCTTCACTTGACCTAACTGCCAATACCCACACACAAGTGATTAAACACCCTTCAATTTACCAACTGCCTTCCCACACACAAGTGATGAAACACCTTTCATTTATCAACTGCCTTCCCACACACAAGTGATTAAACACCCTTCCTTGACCAACTGCCTTCCCACACACAAGTGATTAAACACCTTTCACTTGACCTACTGCCTTACCCACACACAGTGATAAAACACCCTTCACTTGACCTACTACAATACCACACACAAGTGATAAAACACCCTTCAATTTACCTACTGCCTTACCCAGACTTTAGTGATTAAACACCCTTACTTTACCAACTGCCTTCCCACACACAAGTGATTATATACACTTCACTTGACCTATTACACTACCCACACTTCAGTGATAAAACACCCTTCACTTGACCTATTACAATACCCACACTTCAGTGATAAAACACCCTTCATATTGACACAACCCACATTTCAGTGACTTAACACTCTTCACTTGGCCTATTACACTACCACACTTCAGTGATGAAACATCCTTCACTTGACATACTGCCCTACCCACACTTCAGTGATAAAACACCCTTCACTTGACCTACTACCTTACCTACCCATTCAATGATAAATTATCCTTCACTTGACCTATTACACTACCCACACTTTAGTGATAAAACACCCTTCACTTCAGTGATAAAACACCCTTCACTTGACCTATTACACTACCCACACTTCAGTGATAAAACACCCTTCACTTGACCTATTACAATACCCACACTTCAGTGATGAAACACCCTTCAATGACCTACTGCCTTACCCACACTTCAGTCATGAATCACCCTTCATTTCATCAACTGCCCTAACCACATTTCAGTGATGAAACACCCTTCACTTGATCAACTGCCCTAACCACATTTCAGTGATGAAACACCCTTCACTTGACCTACTACACTAACCACACTTTACTGACGAAACACCTTTCACTTGACCTACTGCCCTACCCAAACTTCAGTGATAAAACACCCTTCACTTGACCTATTACAATACCCACACTTCAGTGATAAAACACCCTTCAATTGACCTACTGCCTTACCCAGACTTTAGTGATAAAACACCCTTCACTTGACCTATTACACTACCCACACTTCAGTGATAAAACACCCTTCACTTGACCTACTGCCTTACCCAGACTTTAGTGATAAAGCACCCTTCACTTGACCTACTGCCTTACCCAGACTTTAGTGATAAAACACCCTTCACTTGACCTATTACAATACCCACACTTCAGTGATAAAACACCCTTCACTTGACCTATTACAATACCCACACTTCAGTGATAAAACACCCTTCACTTGACCTACTGCCGTATCCAAACTTCAGTGATAAAACACCCTTCACTTGACCTATTACAATACCCACACTTCAGTGATAAAACACCCTTCACTTGACCTACTGCCTTACCCAAACTTCAGTGATAAAACACCCTTCACTTGACCTATTACACTACCCACACTTTAGTGATAAAACACCCTTCACTTGACCTATTACAATACCCACACCTCAGTGATGAAACACCCTTCACTTGACCTACTGCCCTACCCACACTTCAGTGATAAAACATCCTTCACTTGATCAACTGCCCTACCCACACTTCAGTGATAAAACATCCTTCACTTGATCAACTGCCCTACCCACACTTCAGTGATAAAACACCCTTTACTTGATCAACTGCCCTACCCACACTTCAGTGATGAAACACCCTTCACTTGACCTACTGACCTACCCACACTTCAGTGATAAAACATCCTTCACTTGATCAACTGCCCTACCCACACTTCAGTGATAAAACATCCTTCACTTGATCAACTGCCCTACCCACACTTCAGTGATAAAACACCCTTTACTTGATCAACTGCCCTACCCACACTTCAGTGATGAAACACCCTTCACTTGACCTACTGACCTACCCACATTTCAGTGATGAAAAACCCTTCATTGACCTAATACCCATCCCATCTTCGCTTGGAATGAGTTCCTCCAAAAGCGTCTACAATAATGTGCAATATGGCGGACTGTTATAAATACCTATCTATATTATGTGTTTGTACCTGTATTATATACAAACCAAGGTTACTATGAATTTTACATGAGCCAATGTTATATTATTGCATGTGATGTATTTCAAGAAAATGATGTAGAATTATATATTATTCTTTGTATTTCAGGTCGTTAAATGTAGAATTATATGTAAAGTATATCTTGAAATTCAATAGCATAGGATTTATGTCATATCAGGCAATATGACTCTGTATTAGGCTATTTTAATCTAAAAGAAATGATATCAATAAAAAAATCATAACTATAGTATCTTGTATAATATCCCTGATCACAGATAACACTGATAAAAAACACGTGTATTTGAGATCAGGTGAAATGTACAGTTGGTATGGAAATTACTCAAATTGGTTTGCTAGTGTCTTCGTAAAAAGTGATCAAATCCGGAACCTCCTGACCTTCCCTTCATCGATTAAACGCCTTTAATTCTACCTACTATATATGCAACCCACACGACAGTGATTTAACAACTTTAAATTTGGCTTTCTACCCCCCACCCCTACACACACTCGCTTCAATGACTATCACAGCGTTACATGTCCCAAATACTTCAGACGACAATTCCCAGCCTCTGTATCATTTTTTTCCGCCGCATCGTCTGATCTTTTAAAATCAATTCTGCCTACACTATTTCTACAGTGTCTCTCCTATAAAACTCAAACAACTTCATAAATTCTTTATCACTAAATCTACATTCAATGGCGTTTAATGGCCGTCTTTTTCCCAAGACAGTGTCATTGTTTAACTATAAAGTAGTATGGATATAATGTTAACAGTTGAGATCAAAGACTGACATTGTGACTTGTGCAGTCACAAAATGTTTTTGTATTGAGCATGGAGAAATATTGTTAATTAACTTCCATGAATGCTTCATAGTAAAACATATATGTGGCAAATAACAGACAACGCTTTGACTAAACTTCCAAATGAAAGTTGATAATCTCCTTGATTGTTAGCGATAAAAAATTTCCCATTACAATTTGAGTTGCAAACAAACGTTTCGATCAATATACATTTGTTGTATCATATTTCTATGTAAATGCTTTATATCGAAGGAAAATTATCTTTGATAAAAATATAATTTAATTTTATTATGGTGAATCAAGTTTAGTGAACTGCCGTCTGACAACACAAAATATAAAAAAAAAACAATCAAATGATCACTTTTACATTGCCCCATGGGATCCCTGTTAAAAGTTATTATCATCTCATCCAAAACCCGAAGACGGTAAAACCACACTCTGTATAATCCCTAACATTCTGTTCTTTTGTAAAACTTTTTTATGAAAAAGAGACAGACAACAATCGCGTGTATTTTTCAAGCATTGACAAAAGCATATGTCAGCTATAATTCATCTCTGAAAGATGCTAAAGCTGGAGAGTATTAGGACTAGTCGGAATGGTTGTGCTTCCATCAAGACCACTTTGTTCAAAATCCTAACATTACTACAACATTCTTACATCATAAAAATCTATAATAAACAACAATACTGTCTGTTGAGGACCCGAGTTATACTTAACCCAACAGCTTGACCTATTAGTTATCAATAAACAAGAGTGGATTTAAAAGACGTTACCTTACTTAAATAAAATGACTTCAAACCAAAAGTATACGGTTACTATATATAGACCGAGGTGTAGGTCTCCTCTCAAACTGCTGATCAATGTTCCCAGATATGTATGATTAAGAGTTTAAATGTCTACCTATACAGTGATGAAGGACGTAACTCTTCGCACCTTTACATAATTGATAAATACACACTTCAATACTGACTGTTGCATGCTGTAGGCAAAATAGCATTTATCACACGAGAGTAATCCCATAGCGAATTCTGAAAGGTTCAGAAAATCGAAAATTGCTATACATGAGGTTAAATCTTTTTGTTTTCTTTTCAGCTAAGAAAGTTTGAAGTTATTACTTTAAAAGCGTGTGCAATTTTAACATCTAACCGTATATAGCGTCTCAATTCAATCCGTTGATGATTCCAAACCTGACATTTAACATTGCAATGCATTGTCATTAGTGAAAAGGTCACAGCAGACATCGGATTACAATAAAACGCGACCATATTATAGCACCCTTTGTCACACGACAAGGGGTCAGAAGTTCAGTTATACGTGCCTGCCAATGGATATAAACCTACTTATTATATTAATTAATGTCCATTAGAAGTGACAAACATGAACTCTCAACTACTGGATCACAAGATCAAGATATCACGATAATCACGTGCAGTACTGATTACCAATCAGGTCACTTCTCCTTACTCTCACCATTGAGATGCCATCTAGACTATACAGATGTTCAACATTATTGTCCAATATCGGCTTAACATATCCTAATCTCAATAATTGTGACAGGTATCAGACGATCTCTGCCTTCCAGTTAGCGATACAACTCCCCCATACTGTTGCACTGAGAATCACCACCTACACAACACCTGCTTGCTTGACATCTGTATAGTAGTGTGTATTAATAGATATCATTAAGGGTACATTTACCCGCATGCTTACCTTCTCTCGTCCACAACAAAACATCACAGCGTTCCTCAAATCCAAAACCAAGCTGGTCAACCACGGCAAAATCATGGATAAGTGTTCCAAGCATTTGGTCCTGCAAGCTTTTCATATCTTCCGTAGATTTGATCTGTTAAAATCAACTCCGATAACCAACTCATACATTGTTATAAGAGAAGGCATAGATCAGAAATACAGATAAAGTCATGATAGGGATGGGAAGTCGAGTACCTGCTATTTCTCGTCATGGTGTCGGCGTCCTTGTCCGGCAGGTTGAGGTGTCTGATGGAGTGTCGCCAATGACAGTAGTTCAGCCTCTGTAATATATGACAAGAGACGTACCAGACATTTATCACCATGTGTCACAGCTGTGTATTGGCACCCAGCACAGTGTAAGGTATACGTGTGTACACAACAATGTTGACGGCCGAGGGTGCCTGCTGCAATATCGATGGCGATTGATCACCGTACATATAACAGGAAACACTGTGCCACCATTCACACCGGAGAAGGTCCTCAGATAGAAAGGTCGGCTTGGATAATACAAACCATCGTTACCAATATCCACTTTCCTTCGCGTCAGAACATTTCAACAGAGATGACATTTGTGTTATCGATATCCTTACTCAGACTCTCCATCATCAGCCACAGAAACATTCCCGCCATTTCTCGATCTATTCCGAAGCCGATTGTCGTCTGCCGCCTGAAACCCCAGAGCCCGCGTGCGCTAGTAGGTCGTGCCGGAGTGGACTGTCCACTGTGTGTACGTAACGCCAGGACCTATTGACTGACCGTTGACGCTAGGTGCCTTGGCTTTTCCATGGTTGGTATAGCGACCGTCTACGAATTGCAGCCATTTTAGATGCCTGGCTCAATTTGATAGAAGCGTGCATTCATAAATAAAACATCAGGCGAATCTTTAAGGGCTTTGGCGGAAGTCGTAACTGCACGTTCTATATCCGATTAAGCCCGCCTAGTATCGATATGTACTTGGTGAACGCAAGGTGTCTGTACGGTAAGTAATAGCGCTATACGAAGACTGGGTCCCAGGGTAGCACTGTCTAATGGTCCGGCGTAAAAGATGTACTAAGGAAATACTAAACATTAATAGTACTAACACCAATCACTGTTCCGTGGTAACTCTGGAGAATCAAACTTGGTTGTATAAATGTCAGAACCAACTATCCGTAAGACGGTCGTCAATGTCGTAAAGTTTCTTCAATGCGTTTCATACCTAAAAAGGTGGTGGCGTTGCGATCTTTGGAGGCGTTTTGTATATACGGAGGCGTCGCTTTGGAAATGATGTGCCTGTTGAACGTACTGTACTCTGGAGGTGTTGAGATACTGCCTTTTGATTGGAGGTGTTTCAACCTTTGAAAAGGACGTTACCTTTTGGAAGTGTTCTTCCCTGTAGTCATTAGGTTTATGGCTTGGAGGCGTTGCTCTTATGAGAGTTTATTTTTAGATGCTACCATTTGAGAAATTGTGGAGTTTTATATAGACGTCGTGAGACCTCTGCAGTACTATTACGACGTTTTCCAGATGTCCTTTTGAAGCGTTGTTTGGAGGCGTCGTGACCTTTACGGGTCGAACATTTCAGAGTGACGTGTTAAGGGTTGGTATAGATATCAATGTGATAAGGATATGATGATTTAAAGCATTATACCTGGGTGTTTGGTATTCCGCAGTTCTGGACGTCAGAATTCTCGCCTATGATATCTGTGTATAACGATAAATACTATCATTAACAACTAGCTGTTTGGTTCGATAGTGATAATACGGCATCCAATAGACAATAACTCGATATCGCCATAATTTTGCGTTGGGAAATCTATCTTTCTGGTGTGCTATTATGCGGAAATTCGATTGTACAGTTATTCCATATAAGTACTCGTACAAGACAAACACACACAAATGACACTTTCCTTAATCTTCTCTGTTAGTTCCGGGTAGTGTAGGGTGATTACAGTACGGGTAGCGTTTTGTTACAGACTTTGACTGTTGATGAATCTTTATTCCAAGCCTCTGTGAATAACTTCCCACGGGCGTTCTTCAGTCCTGCGTGTGTTATAATATCCTATCACAATTAGGAGCAATAACATTAGCGTATATCAGACTAGATACAGCGAGAGTAGTGTACCATATGTTGGTACCTACTGGTCAAACAGCCAGCCTTGGTCACCCTAACATGACAGTCAATACTCCGTCCGTGATGTTATCTATTGGCGAAATAACAAATAACGTTATGATGTAATTAACTTCTCGTCATTCCGGGGATGTGATGGCTTTACTAGCATTAACGTCTATAGACATCGTTGTCGCCTTTCGGTCGTTTCGGCTCGGCGTGTTAAAATGCTTCCACAGGAATGTAACAGATAAGATTGGAAACAATGGTATATTAGGTTACTTAAGGTGATTACAACGTAGATTAGGATATGAATAGCATCAGTGTTATAGGTCCCCTGGCCTTACCATTGATAAGACAGCACTACTACTAGTCGTAGTAGCGACTGAGCATCAATGGGTCGAAGTAGGATTCCTCCCTCGCAGATCAATAGCTTATCGGAGTTTCTGGCACCCCTCACAGACTACTAACAACATATCACGTGATCTGCCATAACTGTCCAACATTCTACCAACAGTTCATCATTACTTATTCCCAGCATTGATTATCCGTTTCTATGGTAACCATACATTTAAAAGGCAGCGCGCGTCCTATATGACAGATCATAGATTGGTATCCAGCCGTCAATCGATAAGGAATTAACGTTTTTGCCACCAAAGCGTTTCTCCTCACCTTGACCGCTGGCTATTATGGGGTTTCACTTAGTGGTGCTCACACGTGTGTCCAGTTCGTAATTTACGGTAGAAATGGCGCGAGCGACGGCTGCAAAGAGTGCGAGCATCTCGGGTACGGTTAGCTGGAGAACAGAAATTACTCTTCCTGAAACTGACTGCTATAATCATATTGTCCAGACTAGCATCATTATCGATGAAGTGATGTATGCGGTCAAGCCTTGTGGCACGACAGACCCTTAGCACAACAGAACTGGTATCAAGGTATTGAACAGTTCGCTGATTAACTCTTTGCGTGATTTGACCAATGTGGTAAATATTTATTTCTACGTGTAATCATAGTTATTGGTCGTCTTGGTCAATATTGACCACGTTGAGAGAAAGTACACTAACCGCACAGATGGCGTGAAACTTAATCACCAACAGCTAAACATTCATTTTGAATCATGGCTCTTGACCTTAATCTAAAATTTGATATCATTCGATCGTCGACAATGCGGCATTTTCTGATTTCGAATTTTTATCTGAAAAGTGAATTTTTCTTTGGGTTTTTTTTCTCAATTTTGTTAGTATCCATTCAACATCTGAAAATTATACATCGGTCCGGTCGTGTATGGAAACACATAGGGTAGCTCGTCATGCAGACTACACGAGTTCGAGTCTCCGGTTTGAGTTACTTATCTAATCACGCAGCTTTTTTTAATTGTTACTCAGTTTCCTAAATTTAGATATCTCTGAACACTAACATCCGTGCCAACAAACTTGTATTTTTTTAATTGATCAGTAAAATGCAGAACTTAAAATAGATCTAGACTTCTCGAGAAGATAACAGCTGAACAAAACAGTAAGTAGCAAATCATGTTAATTTTCTCGGGTGTGTATCGAGTTTTAAAGTGGTTTTAGAGGCCTAAAGTTTTCGAGACTTTTCAAGTATGTCCGGAGGGAGGTTAGCAGATTGTTCAATAACTGTACTGTTGAATTGTTAAAACATTTTTTCCATAAACGATAGATCGTGTTAACAGAACAGTCGGCAAGACGCCGAACCGTGACCAGAACTATCTTAATTTGTTAGAATATGGTACGATATATTGGAAGAGTATCGCCATTTATTCTTTCAGACGAAGACTGAAGAGAGTTCATTGTTTCTGACGCAAGGTATTCAGAACTCGGTTTGGATTCGTATACGTTGAATTTGGAAGGATGCTATATCTTACAGTAGAGAAACGGTAAAACAGCCTACCAGTCTATGTTCTCTCACAGAGCACTTCCGTGTATCATGTAAACTTGTTATCGTTTTGCATATAAATCTTATTGTAAGAAAAAGGTACTTCCATTCTCACATGTGACTTCCGGTCACAATTACAGCCTTTACTTCGCTTATGGTCGTTAAACGTAAAACGAATTTTGTCGCAATAGGGCCTTTTTGCTTCTTCAATGAACCGTCTTGTTAAAAGCAATACAATAATTCCGTAACTTACTATTTTTGATATCGATCCATATTTTCAATGTAAATATAATCACGAAGTATTATAAACCCGATCAACGGTATCGGCTATCAAGGAAGGGACATTGTGAAGAGCTGTAGGATAATTGGGCCAGCTACAATCCAGGCAATGATCTCTGTTTTATGATAACATAATTGTCGTTTGTATCACCCGTTTCTCGCGTTGTTACAAGGGCTATTTCGAGATTACCGTGCGATAAACATGCCAGGATAAGGCTCTCATGGTCTCTTACATGTGCATACGCGTCAGTGTTGAGAGGACGGGAACGTGTCACGTTTTATGTTCCAGGCATTCGTAATAAAAAAAATTAGCAAGGACTTCGTCAACACTATTCTCCTTAAAAAGATAATAAATGTTCTTTTGTGGCCCGATTGTATACAGTATAGTTCACAACATTGTAGTAAAGGCATTTGATGTATCACTGTTTAACAAGATACAATACAAACGTGTTTAATGCAGGGAAATTGGCATTCAATGCAATACAACAATTAAGTCATCAAATCTGTTTTGTTTATGACAATCAATTTCTTTCTCGTTAAATCATAGCGTGTTAAATCTATTTTACCACAAATCTGTTTTATTTTGTATTAATGGCGTTTGAAACTTGTTAAAAACCATTTGTGTAAATCTTCTGTTTTTGATTTTGTAACCATGATTCTTCCATAATGAGAATACCCCCTTCGCTTTAAATTGGAAGCAGCCAAATCCAAGTGATACAAAATGTCTTATATCTAAACATTCTAGAGGGGAAGTCTTTTGGATTTAAATATC